TATATATATATATATATATATATATATATATATATATATACTGATTCTGATATCGAAAACTTTGGCCAAGGAATATTTTTCTGACATCCTTGGGTAAACCTGTCAAACATGCTCAGATCTCAGATTCTCTGCCTTAAAGGGGATTTAATGAAAGCAGAGCAGGTGATGTTGTAAAGTGCTCTGCACCCCCGTATGGTACTTCAGAATTAATTATGGCGCAACAATGCTGCTAGTGCAGCTGCCAAAAATGGTGCTGGTTACAGAAAAAACTCAGGACTTGCAGCACGGTTCCTTTATACCTCTGTAACCACACAGGACACAGGGTTGATGGAAATTGTTGATTTGTAAACAGCTGCTGCTTGCCATGAGAAACAGGCTTCGGTTGCTTCTAAGGGAGCATCTAAGAGCAAAGAACCAGGGTTGTAGAGGTCACATGATGTGAGACTTGTGGCCTCCTCTACACTCCTATTGCTATTCTGTGAAGCTGTTGTAGATTATTACTTGTTTGTTTTGACAGTTTAACTAGGTGGGTTGAAACTGCCCCCACCAAAACTGAGTCTTCACCAGCTCACAAAAAGCAGGTGACAGAACCATCACTGCTAAGATAACATATTTCCGAGACCTTAGATTGAGACCACACTAATAACCAGCTAATTTTCTAAAAAAGTTAGTTTTTATCCCTTGTGGTGATTTTAGTAGTTGCCATATAAATGTGTATGTTAAACATAAAAAAACAACATAAATTTCATCTTAAACATAGTATTCCTATAAATTGAGTAAAAGTGGTAAAATAATGGTAATTGTTCATACAGTACATGTAAATTATTTGGAAAATATAAGTAATTTTGAAAGATATGGAAAGTCCCCCGGGATATTTGCTCACCTGCACTTGAAGAGGGAGGATGAGTTCTGCTGGTACAGGGAGTCACAGCTGCTGCTTACTCTGACGCCTCTGTGATAACTAGGAAAGGGACAGAGACAGGATTTTATACAAGAATAAATATTGCCCCTACTTTTCCCTACTGAATATTTCCCTTCACTGATTTTAGTATAATGCTAGTTTATAGCCAATGTTGCTAACTTTTTTCACACTACAGATTAAGCCAGTCGTTTAAATTTCCACACACCATCATCTACTCAGATCTACTTACTTTAATCCCCCCCCCCCCCAAAAAAAAAAACTGAATCAGGTTCAGTGTTAGGGCTCCTCTGTGGCTGACTGATGGTTTAGTTTTGTTACAAAGTGATATTACAGAATATTAACCATTGTTGTTCTCCAACATGTTTCAGTGATACAGTAAATACTGATTCCAGGTATTAACAACAATGAGAACAATATATAACCACATATTTGCTTCAAACAAGGGAACATAGAGGTAGGATATAAATGTTTAATTTCAGCAAGGCTATTAAAGGATTTTGCAATAAGTTTAAAGAAAATAGGACACAAGTAAGATCTTAAATCTCATTGAAGTGTTATATATATTTTTATATAATATTTTTCTGCTCAAGTTGTTTTTTGTCATTTATTCACTAAAAATTAACAACATGGACATAATTAAATAACAAATAAAATAAACAATTTAAATAAAAGGCTCAATGCAGTGAAGATACCTACCATTCAGAATGCTGTGCATCAGTCAGTAACGATGAGTTCTGTTAAAGCTTGCTGAACATCCTTACTTTTATAGGCACAATTGGACCCACCCAGTTCATAACATGTGATTTTAATCACACCTCACTCTTTGGTACACTGCCAACATTCCAACAGTTTGTCAGCTGCTGCATCAGAGTTAACAGAACTTTAGACTTGTTTTATGCAAATGTCACAGACTTCTACATCTCTGAAGTAAGACCTCCTCTTGGGATTCAAACACTACCTGACAAACAGACCACAGTTTGTTAGACTGAAGGCTCAGCTGTCTGATCCAGCAGCACAGTAGCACCACAGGGGACGTTACTCTCTCCATTCCTTTTTCCTCTGTTCACCTCTGACTTCCAGGACCAGACAGAGTCCTGTCCTCTGCAGAAATCCTGAGATGACTCTGCAGTCATTGGGAGCATCAAAGATGGAGCAGAAGCTGAGCACAGAGAGCTGGTGAAGCGCTTTGTGGCATGGTGTGGAAGCAATTTATCTTATTGTAAATGATCTTATTATAGCTGGAATAATTATTACATACAGCTCTCCAGTGATATCAAAGGGTCCCCCCAAAAAAACAAACAACACAGCTATAAAACTGAAAATGTTGGGAGCTGGAGAAAATCCCATCTTTCTCCAGCAGAGTCCGCCGTGGATCCTCTGAGGGAGCCTCCTGCACAGGTGCAGCTCATCAAGACCATCAGAGGATCCACTACATAAGCTGTCTTCAGACCTTACCTCAACGCCGCAGTGTTGTTCCAGTTGGTCAGCGCTAAAGCCTTGCTCCTAGTGAATCTCCATGACCTTGAATCCAGATAGGATTCTAACTTCTCTCTCTGTGTTCCCAGGAAACCCGAGTCTCTTCTGTGAAAGCTCTTGGAGAGCTAACCTGCCGAGCCGACCCTCTGAGCCAAACCCTGAAGACTTTCTGAGAAATCCCAAGCAGCTCAGGACTAGAGCTGGAAGAACCAAACTAAGGTCTGTCCAAGCTAGACGTGAGACGCTGAAGCAGCTACGGACTCTGCTGATAAACTCTTCTCCAGAACCAACAGAAACTCCCCCAAGGAGAATTACTCAAGAACCCTCAAGGTACTATCTGAGCTCACTTGTAAACCAAACCCTGCCAGCAGTTCATAACAGCTCTGTCTCTCACGCAGACTCCAGTGAAACCAGGACCCAGGCCCGAACCAGATCCCAGTTCATATTGTGTTGTGCTTAATAAACTGTTGAACTTTTATCCTCGTGTCCGCCTTGTGGTGTTCTGCATAACTGGGTCTCCATTTGAGAACCCATCATGACAGAAAATTGGGAGCAAAAGTGTAAATGATATATATACACGCTATAAAATGTTTTTAGATCTGAAGTTAACATCAAACTTACTCTGACTAACAGGCCTTGATCTTTTAAACTGTAGTTTTTATCTCCAGTTTTGTAATTCAGGGCTGTCAGACTTTCCATGAGGTCCAGTTTCCTGCAGCTATTATATTTGTCTTTATTTCAACACCAGAATCAAATAATCTGATCATTAATTGAACTATGAGAACTTCTGGCATCATTCAGAAATGTAAAAGCTGCGGGGAAGCAGACCTGAAGGACGGAGTCTCTGGATCCAGGTTCCTTCCTGTTGGTGGCAGCTGCAAGAGAGCAAGAAATTGATGGAGATGAGAGCTGGGCTTTCTCTGGAAAACAATTAGTGAATTTCAGTCAGAATTTATACAAATTGGAGAAGACTATACAGAATCAAATGAAGCATTCAAATATGCAAATTAACTAATCTCTATCATTTTCTTTCTTTGCCAAGATTATCTGTGCATGATGAATATTATTATATGTCTGCTTAGACTTACAATGTTTGCTGTGTATAGTGATTAATGAAGCTGAAAAGGGCTATAACCTAGCATCACATCATCAATTATCTGTGCTAATTCGCACAAGGGACATGTTTTAAAAAAGAAAGTTGTATAAACGATGTGTGGATTAAATGCATAATCGGGATTATATACAATATTTATATCTTGTTTTCAAATTCAGGGCAGTATATCTCACAGCTTTGCATTTGTTTGATTTATTTGGCTGGTGTTAATGGAGGCATCTGCACAGCTCCCCCCACTAAATTATCATGGAGCTTCTCCAGTTTAATTTTCAATTCAATTCAGTTTATTTATATAGCGCCAAATTCGAAATACATGTCATCTCAAGGCACTTTACAGTTCTACCAGATCATACAATCAAATTGATACAAAGTTTACTATCTAAGCAAAACCAGTTGATTGCATTGACTCATTGACTCAAATACAATCCCTCACACTAAGCATGCTTGTAGCGACAGTGGAGAGGAAAAACTCCCTTTTAACAGGAAGAAACGCTCAGTGTGAGCGGCCATCTGCCGAGGCCGAAAAAGAAAAAAGTGGTTGGTTTTCTCATACAAATCAAAACATGTTAAAANATAAATATCTTATGATAATGATATGTTATGAATTGAACTGAGCATTTTGAATTTTCATGCTATGGAAAAATCTTGTATAAATTCATTCGCCAGGTAAATTAAATTAAAATAAAATAGAGAATGTTTTCTAAGAGAACAAAACTATTTTGGTTCTTTGGTTTGATTGTATATTCTTTAATGTTTAACTAGTAACAAATAGAAGAGAAAACTGAGCTAGCAGCTCTTTGAGTCTGTATTGTGATAGAACTAAAAGCTTTCAAATAAATAAAAAACAAATACCAGTGGTTTGTTGAATCACGTGTGTGAAACAAACCATTAGACATGAGTAAACTATGCAGCTTAAAGATGGGTAGAAAGCACCCCTAAAACACAGGGAATGGATTAGACTGAAGTCATAGCATAATAACCATATAAAAAATTTGACTCTTTGTCTCAGATTTAGTGGGTGTAATAAGAACCTTATAGTAAAGAAAAAATGGTAATAAGGGACAAGAATCCTAAGTTGTTAAAGTCTTTTCATTTCAGAGAAAAGTTTTGCTGCAAAAACTTGACTTATTTATAGCAAAAATAAAATGATCTGATTACCTGGGGAGATTTTCTGAGTGATGTTACAAAAGTCCTTCAGCTGGTTGTTGAGGATGATCCCAGTATTTTGAGAGTAGACCCTGGAGCCAAAACTGTTAAAACAGCAGGGAGCTCTTTTCAGCATGATATATTTCTAATTAGAGTTGGTGTATAAATAAAAGAGCCATCACCAAGAAAGTAAATTATTAGCTTAAAGATTAGTTTTGGATTTTTGAATGTAGGTTCTGTAGAGTTATAAGAAGGATGTTATTTCAGCATCAGCTTGTCGAAAAAGTAAGTGGGCAAGAAGCCAGTTAGAGATACACTATTAGTTTGCCTCCTCTCATTGGATTGATCTGATGATCATGGTTCCTTCCAAATATATTTATAACTAGATAGAAGTTCTTGAAAGTACAGGATCATACTGACATCTTTGCTCCCCTAAATTGACAAAAGATCCATGTTAATAGAAGTTTCACCAGGAAGAGTTGAAGTACATCTGACTGATTTATTCAGTAAACAGACTCAACCAATCTCACTCTTCATAGGAATGACTGGCAAAAAATGTCAGATGTAAAAGGCTGATATAAAACTGTAGACTTATCATCTAAAATAGTGCTGTATCCCACTAATATGAACATTTTCCATTTGATTATTTCACAGTTTGAGTCTAAATATAGGGGCGGATTTACCATTAGGCAAAATTGGGCAGCTGCCTAGGGCCTCAAGTTCGTGGGGGCCCCATAAACCTCCTTTCAAATGTATGGTTAATACAGGTATTACTCATTTGTGCACAATTATGTGTTTGATACAAATCCTTTCTCTAAAATGCCATGAGAATGCTTGTTAAAGTGAGCCCCCCAC